TCTCTCTCTCTCTCTCTCTCTCTCTCTCTCTCTCTCTCTCTCTCTCTCTCTCCTTCGTTTCAAAGTCGCGTACTCGGCGGTATATTATGCGTGCATATTCATCGTTTTATTGCAGCTAATGAGTCGCAAGTGAAATAATTTCACATCAGTTTATTAACATTTATTAAGCAAAGCTCATTCAGCCTCGTATAAATTCCCTCGTCGTGTTGCAATTCCTTTCTTTCTCGTTTCGCAAGAGCATCGCCTGTCTTATTGCGTTCCTATCTCGCCTTCCTCCCTAATACTTTAACTCTTATTTTCTCCCCCGTCTATTCCGCGCGCGCCCCTGTCAAATATTTAAAGGTTTCCTCTTTTTCAGCGGGTCGCTGTAAACGTATCGCATCTATTTTTCAGCGGACAGCCGGCGCAGAAAACACCTGCCTCTATGGTTCTCCCGTTATTCCTGCGTTCTAATTACTGCACGCTCCGCCGTCCACGCCGCGCACGATATCCAAATCGATATTTCCAATCGAATTCCACGGCTCCGCGTGATTTGCACCACGAATTTCGCATGAAGACGGCCGGGACGCGCGACGAGAGTGATCCGCGAAGATTCCATTTGTACCGCGTAAGTCCGCCCATCGATCACGATAGCGCCCGTGATTCGTTACGATTGGCAGAGACATAATATCCACGAATCGTCCTTCTTTATTAGCGGTACTTCAATCCAGGTAACCGAGGAATCCTTCACGGTAAGACGGACCGTCCCAGACGCTGGATATGACTTTCATATTTTACGATAATGCCGCAGGATATATTCCGCAGGGCAAACGAATTTTGACCCCGGTGCAGCAGTTTTCACTTGCCATGGTGTAGGATCGTACTCGCGTGTGAATTTCCCCGAACGTTACTTTGCGTCGACGTTTCATATCGACTTCCTATCCACCTCCCCCCCCTCCTCTCTCTCTCTCTTTATCTGTCTCTTGTTTCCTCGTGCGGCGGCTTTGCGTTGAAATTCGCGTCGATAAAACGCGAACTGATAAATCGATATCAAAATGTGCAGTTAATCGAGGTTCCAAACGAAAGAAACTCGACTCTCCATGACCGGTTATCCGTGTCGCGGTAAAAACTTTATCGCGTAATTCTCTTGTGATATCTGACGGCTGCGCGTCCTGTTACTTTTTATTTCCCGTTCTGCACGCCTCGTTATTTCTAGAAAAAGGGTAAGGGGGAAAGAACGAGATGTAAGTAATAATTTGAGTTTTACAACAATAGATTAATAAAGCTTCCATATTAATGAGGGAAAAATGAAGTTGAAAATTATTCCGCGCCGCAAAAATGCGCGCACGCGTTACATGAAATTTAAACGTTTCAAAACTCAAAACTTTCGATCGCGACGCGAAAATTGTCGAAGCGAGGAAAAGGGAAAAAGTCTCGGTGTTACGAATAATATTTGATCCGTTTTAGATTTAATTCGCGTCGAATTTTTCTTAGCTAATTTCCGTTTAAATTACCTTTCGTTGCGCTCGTACGTGATGACGTCCGAATGAAGTAAATATTCGCATTATACAAGCCAGCCTAGTACTTCCAACACACACATAAAATAGCACGCGTATCATTATTGACGGAAATTAGCAAATGAAAGAGTTGCATTTTTCGATGCTAAATAACCTCTAGACCTATAAAGCTTAGGTCGTACACTTCTCAGGAATTTTCTATGCAGAATCGAGTGATTTTTTAGAACCTGTTATAAGAAGTGCCACTTTCTGTTTAAAAAGCAAGGTTGACATTCATGTGATCTTGGCCATTAAAGTACAAGGTACTTAACCGTTTTTCTTTTCCCTCAGACACTTTGCAAATTTTGTCGGAAACATTTTTGTATACCTGACTCTATTTTCAAGATATTCGGCTGGCTTATTTAAAATGAGCATCCTATATATTTATGCAACTAACTCATAAAGCCCGCTGCGTTCGCATCGCGCGTGGAATCTCGTCGTTTCGCACACGATTATCGACTGCTATGCCTTGCCGCCGATACTATTCATAGACGAAACGTGCCAACGTAACTGGTATTCGATTAATCGTTCTATCGTTTCACGAGTCGTCAGTTTATCATCGCCCCGAGCGAAGCTTAGCAGACTTCACGGTTATTCCCTTCGCTTGACTTGCGAGCAATAGCTTCCGGTTTCATCTCGAGTACGTTGGCTTCAAGTGCTTCGCCGTATAAAGTGTACGTATACGGAGCCCGTAGTTAAGAACGTGAGAGTAATCGGAAAGTTCAAGTCGAGAGGTTGCTGCTAGCGCGCCGTAATCGAAGCGAATCGATCGAGAATCTCAGAAGATAATATCCTCCGTATTCGTGTCACGATATTATTCCGTTGGGATATCCGAAAGAGTTGATGCGAATAATTGGCGGCAACGTGAGCGCGGGAATATAAAAATCGTAATATTAACGCTTTGACAGTCGCACTCTTTGCGCGAAAAATTTTTCCTTGTCGCAAGCAAATTTCGGCAAATCTGAATAATAAAATTGTTGAAATTGTGAATAATGAAATTATTTAGAAAATTAACATTTTATGTAATTCTAATGTACAATCTAATGTAAAATATAAACCAGAAAAAGTTTTGCGAAGACTGGGTTACCCCACTTAGAATCACATGTTTAAAACATTACATTTCTATCTAGAACCAATCATTATTTTGGGAAACTGCACTGGATCTCAATTAGATCCAAATTTTCTATGCGAGTTTTAGCGAAAGGTCAATCGATGCACGCGACATGGTGGGACGAGCTCTGTAGGCAATCTGAAGGAAGTCTTGTTCTCCTTTCTTTTAAATTACATTTTATACGCGTGAAAAACATAAAACTGACGCTTCGTATTACAAGTCCGACTAGTTTCAGAAATTAGGGAAAATCCCGCAGGTCTTATTAAGTTGACGGTCCTGAGAACGAACGGCCAACTGACTGTGCGGGGCTAGTTGCCAGTGACGGTGCTTTTATATAGCGAACTCTAAAGTTTCCCAAGTGAACCTGGAATTACAATGCACGATTTCATGTCTTCTGACATGCATGCTAACTGGCAAGCTATAGACAGCTCAGTTCATTGCATATTCCAATGCACAATAGCGATTCAATGAAATAAACTGCTTGAAGCATATCGATCAGCATACATGTGAGGAAGCATGAAATTGTACATCGTAAATTCTTCTAATAAATCTCTGTTTAACACACAAATGACACGTCTCAAATCATTGATTGTAATTCACACGCACCGTGAACGAGGATTATCGAGATCGGAATCGGGTTAACTATGCGGGAATTCTGGAGTTCAGCACGACTTCGCTTGCGGATTATTCCTCAGGACGTTATGTCGCGGTCGCTTGCCCGATAAATGCCCAACTAAATCGCCATTAAATATGATAACAAGTCTTAACCGTTTTAATTTGGACGCGAACTAGTCCGAATGCGGTGGCATGAATCACGAACCGCCAATTAGCATGCGGCGGAATGAACTGCGATAATTTTGCCGCGGCCAGTTGATGCCTGGAAATTAACTGCGGAACTCGTTACATGCATACTTCTCACGCTCCGCTTCGGATTGCCATATTTTAATTAATTAAATACGAGCGGATCCTCAACGTGATTAATGAGTCTACGGATAATTCTCACAATGCCCCGCAACATGTACGACGCGGCCGTGCGAAAATATGCCGAGTATGCAGAGATTTTTCATCTTCACTGTCTATATTTTAATTCTCCCGCGCGAAGCACACGGCAAACATTTGTTATCTTTCAGACGGTTGTAGCCTTTGAGCGTCATAGCGATAGAGTTGAAGTGTTTTGTAAATTGACAATCCATTCGCGGCGTATCCAATCTCCCTAAAAGTATTGACGCAACAAATAAAAACGCAATACCGCGCTTACGACGCGCCTTTGGATGTGAATTACTGTAAATCTCGAAATAATCGATATGCTGTCAACAGACGGAGAGCTAACGAAGTTCCTCACGCTCTTGACGAGATCCCGCTCTAGCGCGAACCCACGAGATCGTGTGAATCACTTTACACAGGTTGTTACGATTTCGGACTCCACTCGGTCGCGAATACATTCGATTTACATATTTGGAATTCCTGGGAAATCACGTTACGTGCATTCTTCTCCCGCATCGCGCTTCGTCGAGCATCACAGCGATTAGAGGCGATTTTTTCCCAACGCAAAATTTTCTTTATTGCTTCACGCGAGTCCGTTATCTGCGCGACGGCAATAGCCAGTGCTGTTCGCAGACACTTCATTTTGCCAGAACAAACAAGCTTTTAATCACAGTTTCAGTTTGCAGCTATTGTCTTTGCATCGCGGCCCCGCGCGTTTACCCGCGCTGCTACGGCAAAATCAATACCCCCCGCCCTCCCTTTTCCTACCCTTCCTCCTCCACGTCCTCCTCGAACCGTTCTCTTCCGCCGCCGCCGCCGCCGTCGCCGCCGCCACCGCCGCTACCATCGCCCGTAGCGCGCTTAATATTTTTCCACGGTTACGCGTCCGTTTAGCTACCTTCCCAAGGATGGCGTCGGGATTACGCAATACACATAGCCCATTGTATTCCGCAGAAGCGCATAAAGCTGGCGACATAACGGGCTCCTCATTGGCGCTTGAATATTGGATAAGTTCGGCGCGGCGAGCTCCGGGGAAACTGCGCGATTACGGCGCGCCCGACCCGCGCCCGGGTGTCGGGCTTGAGAGTTTCGTCGACAATGACTATAAGAGAGACCCGCGAAATTATTATGTTTCAGCTCTGCCCGGCGTAAGGCCCGTTATCGCATCGGAACGCGAACGCTACGACGCGGGAGACATGCTGAAGGCAAATTGCAGCCTGCCACCGTCGAGGCCGCCGGTTCACCTCTCATTCACGCTGAACAACATGCCGGTAAGCGATACCTATCGACACGATTGTCGTATTATCGAATCGCAGAGGGGATGAGAGATAGATAGGTAGATAGATGGATAGATAGATAGGTAGATAGATGGATAGATAGATAGGTAGATAGATGGATAGATAGATAGGTAGATGTATAGATATGTATAGGCAGATATATAGACAGATAGATGGATAGATAAAAAGGTGAGAGGGGGGGATATTAGTGCGATTGGGGTATTTAATATAATTATGATTATACAAATAACACTTCATATCCGCAAATGTTTAATCGTGCGGAATTTAACGCATTGTTACGCGGGGAGAATATTATTTTTTTTCTTTTTCATATAAATTCTATTTAATTTTACTATATTCCTGGTAGTACAGAAACAGACTATCAGTAAAGTTTAAACATAGCAAGTTTCGCTAGGAACATAGAAAAAATTTTAATAGCCATCTTAGTTTCTAAAATATAAACGGTATGTATGAAGTATAAGGATAGTCACTGCGATTATAATTAACGTTGATTCTTATTTCCCGATTAAAACATTCTTTATAACAAATTTCACTACAAAATTCTCGATCTATGGCCGGCTATTTTAAGCATCAGCTAACATTGTTTTTTCATCGACTATTTTTCACAAGTTAACGTAAAATATTGTCGAGCTGTTTGCAACATTATTCCATTCTTATTCCTGGCTTAATTTTTTCTCATAACCCATTATCCAGACACAAAATCACTTAAGTCGGCCAACAACATTCGACGACAATACGGATTACCTCGTGTCGGCCAGCTATATGTTAAGAAAAACGAAACGGTTTGGTTCCGCGGCATAGTCCGTATGGAATCACCAGTGACATTTGTGACTGTGCAAACAGACACGAAAGAGAATAAAGAGGCAATGAGAGAAATACCTCGCCATTTGACGTATCTCCCTGGCCGAGTTTGTATAAACTCGCTGTTAAAAATGCAACGCTAAATACAAGTAGAAGTACGAATTACCGCGTTTTACTGCATTACCGAAAGAAGTAAATTGCGGAAGACCGTGCTTTAGGCCGGGGAAACTCGCTTCTTAATTGATACAAACGTGTACGCCCACGCTCGCATATCCGGCGTATGATCGCATACTTGGTGTATGCACAAACAAATTTCATATTCCGTACTCTGACGCGGAAACTTTCTGTGCGAGTCAATAAGCATTATTTGACCGCAGCAAATTATCACGCGGTTTAACTTTCGGTTAATTATGGTTTTGTGCGGTCGCCGACCGTTCGGCTCGAATAATACAATCAAATAAGCGCAGTTAAACAAAGTTATGTAATATTTAAATAGTTAATTTAGCACTCTCTGTGTACAGGACGCGCGCGCTCACTTGTCGTGAATGTGTGCGCGGTGCGATAAACTCGATTGCGCGCGTTATCATCGATTTTGATTTATACACTGATTACCCATAACAAACGCTTGTTATGCCGGTCGGCGATTGATTCGTTTGGCACGCCGGACGATTAGCCAAATGTGGCAAAAGCGCGAAAACGTCCGGGAGTATGTACACGTTGTGAAAGTACCTCGGTCCCGCGTGGTCTCTGTGTCTCTCTCGCTCTCTCTCCCCTCTTTTTATCAAACGGCCTATTTAACAGCTGCAGCCCTTTTAACTTCGAGCCGCTCAATCGGAATCCGCTTTTCTCACATCTTCCCGCTTCCCTGTATGGGTTCTCCTTTTGTAAAAATTGTTAAACGGAGGACTATTTGCTCCCGGCACCCCATGAAACTCGTAAGGCTCATTGGAAATTGCGCCAGATCCCGATATCGATTTTCAATTTACGAAATATATGTATCTACACTGCCGCGCCGCGCTATTATCATCGCCGCCGATGTTTATTGTAGCAGGAAACTGCCTTAACCGTTTTCGGAAAGAGGATCGTTGCTTCAGGCGCGCGCGCGCACTCCCGTTTCTGTTTTTCTTTTATCACCGCGAAATCACGCGCTCGGAAATGGATTCCATTTATTACCCGTGCCTTCTAACTGTACCTTAATGTGCGCGATGTTCTCGCGCGCGGCCGCTTACTCTCCCGAGCTCTACGAGGGCTCGTTTTAGAGCTCAATTTAGTCCGAAATAATTCCAGCGCGCGCTCTTTCGGCTGTGGGCAGGGAGGGTTCGTCGACGAGCATTCTCTCTCTTCTCTTTCTCTGTCTTTCTCCTCAGGAATTGACAGACCTTAAAGGGGTTAAGCAAACTCTTTGTCCCGCGGAAATGTGTAGTAATATGCGTATCGTCTATTTGCCTACTGCGCCGCTACCCCGTTCTTACGCCGAATTGAAATCCCGCCGGAATTGGAGCACGGATGATTAAGTCTCAGCCGGTAGCGCCGCGACGTCGTCGCCGAAGTAAGAGGAGGTTTTATCGGGCGCGTCCGCGGGATAAGGGAATTTGAATAATCGGATAATCCGAACGGGAAAGAGAGAGAGAGAGAGAGAGAGAGAGAGAGAGAGAGAAAGGAAGAGAGAGAAAGAGAACCGGGAACTCTCTGAACGAAATACTAATAACCGCGATACGAGCAAAAATGTTGTCGGCTAACTTTCGTCGCGCGGGACACGTCGCACGGGCGTAGCCTCCGGCGATGCATTACCCGTAATCCCCTGGGATGATGTCGCGTGATCTCATCAGCCGATACGGCTAAATGCAAAACGGGAACGCGCGCGGTCCGTGTTCGATCGTCCGCGAGAATCCGAAATTCGCCCTCTCGACTTTGACCAAGCGGGATCCCGCGCTAAGCGCGATTTGTCGTCTCTCACCTTGCTGCCGTCGACTGTCGATTTTTAACGTCGAAGTCGTCCTTATTTTTAGAGATCTTGTGCTTAGATAAGAAAAAGAAAATCGTTTTCCAGCGCGACATTTTTGTTTATTGCGCTTGTGATTCTTGCAGATATAAGAAGAGTGAATTGTTTGCGCTATTCATCTACGAATATCTCGTGATATTAATAAATTCATTTCGCACAATTTTCACGTAAAGATAAGATATTCCGTTTCTGAGGGTCGAATGTATTGAGTTAATTTTTGCGAACACGCGGGGTTTTCGATCGGGCGGGCTTGATAATTTGGCGGAAATTCTTCCGTTATTAGGATTCCTTGTTTTACGTTACGCGTGACTTCTCAACAACGTCCGATAGAAATGCTATCACACGTTGCAATGTAGATTCACTCATTCGCCGAACGTACACGTTCCGCGCAACGATTCAGCTCGCGAGACGATTGCCGACAGCGAGTCGTAAATTCGCCTTAATGGACCGAGTTGTAATGATATTACCTCTCGCCCGACGGCAGAGTAAGGAGCCGGGAAAATACGAATCCGAAGAAACTCAACCGCGGTTTTCCTTCTCCATGAGACCTGGAAAATTAGTATCGCATATATACGGTAAGTGCGAGTAACGAAGGAGCCGACGCGGCGAGGATGGCGAGGGGAGGCAGGCAGTAACGAATTGCCCGGACCGAGAACAACCGGGTCTGCTAGCTTCTTACGGTTAACGTCTTGTCGAGAAACTCGTCGAATTTGCAGGGAACGTTTCTGAGAGCATGGAAGATATCTTGTCGCGGAAACAACGGTTTCTTACAACGGGGCGTTGCCTGCAGTACAAGTTTACTCGCGCCGGAGAAAGTAGTTTACCGTCGGGAAAAACTTTCAACTGGCGGAGATCCTGTTCCTACGGAAATTTATTCCTCCACTCGGCGAAAATCTTGCTCGATATCGTGTCACTTTAGTGCATCCGTTAATTAACGAGTAACGCACTTGGACGAGTGTGTTAGTTATGAAAATGTTACATGCACGATTCACTCCCTCTTCTCCTCCATAACGAAATGGAAGTGAATTCGTTGGTCATAATATCTGGTACACATTAATAATTATATAAAATTTGGTCTCTCACACTTTAGCGTTGTTGTGCACAAAGTATGAATCAAACGCACGTCAATATATACCTGTCAATTAATAATTATCATGATAAACGAGCGTAAATAACGCACGTATTCACGTATTTGATGCGCGGAACGTATATACCGAATGCGAACATTAATAGATGCATTATCAGTGAAATATCTCGGCTACAGATATAATAAAACGATAACACGGCTCTTCCTGCCAATAAGTGCACTTCGTGTTATTTCAGATATGTTTAAATGAAGCGGCCGCAATTAATATTATCTTACGCTTATCAATTTCCTGAGTCACATGCAGGACATCGCTCAATGTACGTAGCGCACGCGTCAGGACAACCCACGACAGTGTGAAAATCGGCAAATTGCAAATTTGCTAGAAAGAGACGGACAATCCCAAATCCGGCTTGTAATTACGAACACATTATGACCACTGAGCGAGATTACCGAACCGTTCTCGCGTGTGTCGCGTAAAACCAGTCTCCCTTTTAATCTCTCAGTAACGCTAAGCGCCGGCAAAAAATTTGCAATCGTAATTGCGCGTACAACAACGCGTCCGTATTTTATGACGACTGCGTACCCCAACATGAATTGGCTTTCACTTCGTGTGTCCGTAAACCTCCCGAAAATTTCTAAGATTAATCCACCGCTACTACCACGGATGGATAGATGTAAATTTCGCGGTGTAACCGACAAGCGTACGCTCTTCTCACATACAAATATCAATACGATGTCCTTATCCTTTAATATACAGCACATGGCGCCGTAAGCAAGGCTAACTCACGCGCGACCCCGTTTATTTTACATTGCACGAGGTACGTGTGAGGCGACGGGGTTCGAGAATGTTCAGACATTCTCATCCGGTACATAAACTGGTATCTTCCTTGAGAGAAAAGAGGCGCTAGGAGCGACATGAAGAAGAGCTCTTTTTTCGCGTACACATCGAGATACGATCACCGATGACGAAACGGAATTGCCGTTACGTCAGTCGACGACACAATGATGAGGCTTATACGCATTGCTTTAAACGACTAAGAGATCGCGTTGAATGAATAATTATGAACTAGATACAAGAATAAA